TATATATATATATATATATATATATCTTTAGTGAACATGAAATGTACCCTAAATTGTAGCATGACCCATATAATCATAACACAGCAATGTTATGGTAATGAGTGAACCATCCCTCCCAAAATTACAATTTCAGTATGTCCTGGAAAGAGCCATGCTTTCCTGCTTTTTCCAACTGACAAAATGTGAATTAGGATCTGGAACAATCTGGCCACACTCCCTCTCTCAGCTGTAGGGAATTAAAATGGGGGGATCAAAGGATGAGAGAGCTAATCCACCTGAGAGTGGAAGAAAAAGACGGCGAGAGAGAGAGAGGGAAAGAGGAAAAAGATGTGAACAAAGGTGTTTGCGGTTGGCCTGCGACAAAGGATCAGTGTTCCGCTCTCAGCATTCTATTTTCTCCATCCTTTTCCCTCCCATCAGACAGGGGAGCAGTTGGTCTGTGGAGATTCCAAAAGGGGCACAGATGAGGAGACTAAATAAGGCATTAGATACCCCCTCAAAGGCTTTGTTGTTGATCCTCCAGGTCAGCGTTGCGCCCTTGTGGCCTGTGACCTGCCCAGAGCCATGCTGCTTTGCTAGGCTTTGAGTAGATTTAGTGCAAGGGATAATGCATGAATTTGGGCACAGGCACATGAGCTTAAGGCTCAGTTCTATCGACGAGGATGCCTGTCAGTCCCCTAATAGAGCTGTCAGACAGACCGGAGAGAATTGTGTTGAGCTGCCATGTTGTGTTTACGCTCACTTAGGGCCTATGTCTAATGCAGTATATAGGTGTAATTTGAAAAATAAGGTTATTATCACAAACGCACTATACCAACTTAAAAGTGTGCTTTGCAATTTTTTGATTATTATGAATAATGCAAAAGTTTTCGGTTACTGACACATTTGATGAAATGTGAAAATTGCAGTTCAGACATGATTAATTTATTCCGGGACAAAAGCCTTCGATAGTGCGTACAGGAAGTATGTTTTATGTATATCAAGTTGCGACTTGCAATCTGTATAACCCAGTGGGCAATTGATGTTGAAAAGACGTCAGTTTGACGTCAAAAACAGGTTAAATATGCAAATCAAACTGACAAAAACTTGACATGACATTGATTTAATGTAACTTGAATGTAAAACATGTTGACCTACATATACGTTAAACCAGTTTCAGTGTGGGATTAACTTCCTATTTTCACTCAATTACCACTGGAAGAAATTGCCGTCCAAACTGAATTTAAAATGATGTTACAGCATCTTAATCAAGTCTTGACTAATTTTTGACGTCAAATTAATATCAAGGGAATACCCTTATTGCCTTACTGTAGCATAATTGAGGGCACCCTGAAATTGGAAATAAATAAGTGTACAATGGAAATATATAAAGAAACAAAAATCCAACAAAAATCCATAAATAATATACTATGACTTTTTTCAATATTTGTAAATAATAGCTTAAATTTTCTTATAGACTGCAGTCCATATGCACCATTAACGTATAGCCTACTTACAGATTCACTTGCTGCATTTGTATCTTGCATCTACAACCATTAAATCCACCAAAAAAGCGCAGCCATGAAAAATACTTTGGAAATACATTTGTGCCTCCTCATTAGAGAAAGCTTGCGTGAGTATCACTTGTCCAGTAGGGGGCGATGTTAAACAGCATTTGTCAAGAGGTGGCTTGAGTCATGCGTTTGCAGGTGTTAACAGTCCTTTGAGCATCGAGGAACATGTGGAACAGGTAGGCTGTGGAAAACGTGTATTTTCTCCCAGTTTTTCAATGAAGTGACTCACACTGCAGTTGAAAAAATTGACCAGGCTTGTTTTTGATACTGACATGCGCAACTGAGATTGAGATTGTATGATGCTACTGTTTCTGGCAAATGTTTTGTTTGTTTCTTGCGCAACATGTTTAAATATGATAGTGATGATGATGACGTTGATGTTTGTGTTAAAAGTTACAGTGTGGTAACTGGATAACTATTGCATTATGGATGCAGCATTATTTGGACAAGTGCTTTTGTGAGGCTTAGTTATTAATAGTTGTATAATATTTGTTATATTTTATTGTGCATTTATGCGGTAGCTACAAGTAAATTAAGGGGGACATTCCTGTATTTTGTACATATCTATTTGAATTACTGCATTTCTTGGAAATACCCTTTTATTGGGACAAATATAGGTGCGTTTTTATTTGAGATATGGTTGATTATAATTATCATTCTTACTATTATTCTTACAGTTGTTGTAGTATATAGTATGTATATTGTTGTGCAATGTATGCTACATTTGCCAAAAATAAAAACAACAGAAATGGGTAAGGTATCCCATAATGCAGTGTGTTTAACATGACCTACCATTTCCTATGTCATTTGACTAGACATAATGTCAACTGGGATTTTTTGTTTTTAAATTAGACTCCCAAATGCAATTGTAAAAATGCAAAAAAAAAAAAAGGGCAGAAAAAAACATTTCCAACTGATGCCACTCACTAAATAAAACAAGATGGCCATGTGACAATGTAGAATACTACTTTTAAAAACTTTATTTTGGAATAAAGATTGCGGTTCAACTTACTATTTTTAATAAGTAGTAGGCAGTTTAAAGTGCACACCATTCAGTGAGTAATAGACTAGGATTCTATTCTGAACATACATGTATTGTATGAGATTAGCTAGACATTATTTTATGTTTCTGTAAGCATTTTCTACTTTGCGGAGTTTGTATTTTCATTTATAGTTGCTAATTAATAATTATGCACAAATGTCTGGAAGCATACAATTTTAAGTCCGTACCAGTGCTGACTGACATGCTACACAGTCTGTGGAGTCTTTGACCTTTCAAAATGATAACTGAGCTAGACAGAGCATGGCACATCTGACCTAAGGCTTTTTGTGGCATTCTCCATAGGGCAAGTGAGTGAGTCAAATCATGTTTATTGCCATACGCATGACTGTAATGCAAAGACAAGACTGAAATATATATTCTGGATGTCACAACTGAGAGAACGCAGTTGACAATGATACTATATCTAGACTTTAGAGAACATTTTGTATATTATATGGATGAGGCTAAGTATCGCATAAGAAAATATATAGGCTATGTCTGTCTGATGAAACCGTTTTCATATCTTGATTTTCTTTTTTGTTGCTGAATGCTTTTTGTTATTATGTATCCAGTGATGTGTTGAACTTTCATCCCGTCAGCCACATTTTGTTGTACCTTTTCACCAGTTTTTATTGTTTCAGAAGCAATAAGTATGCAAGGATTAACAGGAAAGTAAAACTGTAAAGGCACCTGATTTCTGATCACTCACGTGGAACATACTTGAACATGCAAAATATGTAGAAAGAGCAGTGATTTACAAAATCCATTTCATTCAGTTTCAGTATGTTGAAATCATCTCCAAATCTACCTCTGCACTGATGCACACTGTTTCAAGCACACTTAGTTGATCAGAATACCCTCATTGTATCTGCGTCACTAAAATGTTATTTAGGACTTTAAATGTTTTCTTGGGGAAAAAATGGCATGCTGTAGCTGTGACTTGTGTAAGATGGATGTTTTTGATTTATTGATTGCTATTTTTGTTAGGCTTTTTGTGATGTTCATTTAAAATGCCAAAATCTCAACCTTTTTGACTCCAGCCCCCACCTCCCCCTTTGTCTGAGACAATATTTGAAGACCCTCCTATCTTTAAGCTTATAAGCTGATATGTACCTCTGATAAACATACTTAACATTATGTTTAATGTTATACATTGTGTTTTTTAAAGC